TAGGCGCTTATTCCATAACACAGGCAAATCGTCTCCTGCCCATCATCCAGTTGACCTCCTGGAGTACTCTCGTCGCACCTCCTTTGTGCGCCGCAACTCCGTTCCCCTTTCCCTTGGGATGAGAAGCAGACTCAGGGGACATGACTGGTCTTTCAGACCGGGAGAGTGAGTGCGCCGAAATCATAGACATTATCTGGCGGAGGTGGGAAGAGCCTCCAAGTGAGTTCGTACTTGAGTGAGGCGAGCCGACAGATCTTCACGAGAAGGGATCCTGACAGCGGCAGCATTGCCAGGTCTGTCAGGGGTAGGGAATATCTACTTATAATCGCCCTCGACGATCTCGCATCTGCTGCAAGGCGCTTATATAAGCGCTCAAGATAATCGCAGAGCGAATAACTAGGCTAAGTTATTCGCATGTTATCAACAACGTTGTTAACCTGCGAATATCGCACTTGCGAAGAACCTGGAGGTTCTTCGCCCGACACTAATCTTCTTGCAGGACCCATGGAGGCTGGAGCTGAACGTTGAACTTGGACCAGCATGTACGTGCGAGTCAATGCAAGGCTCGGCGCACTCGCTCAAGTACATAGCGTATTACTCATGTCAGAGTTCCTGCACATGCATATGTTACGCATCCGAAACTCGAATGACCTACCAAATGATCTACAGCCTATTTGCAGAACTCGATCATGCGCGATTCCTGCAACATCCCCGAAGGTGCCAACGTCTACGACAGAAAGGGGCGAGACGTCTGGTTCAAGTCAGACATACCTCTCGCAAGAGTGAGCCGGAGTGGATATTATGCGTGCAAGAAGCAGCTGTCAACCGCGTCCACCACGTTCATCCATCGTGTGTGTCTTTGCTGTCTTTCGGTTGGATGGTTGTCCTATCTAATTGACAGGTATGTGGATGATGAAACCTCGTGGACATGTTGAACTCTGAATGCGTGCCGATACGCTTGTCATGCCCGCACAGGATACGACTGAGCTCATGACACGGTGAGGGAACATACTGCTGTTTATCAGACACCTTTTCACTCTTAGCTTATTGGCTGTATTAGATTGGAGTACATAGCCAAGGCCCGACGGAGAAGTCAAGAAGGAAGACGCGTTTATGCTGGCAGTTGTGTCTGCCGTGTAAGTATTATGTACACACAATGAGGCTTCATGCAATAGAAGTTAAGTCCATCAACGACCTGCAGAAGAAGCGGACTCTAGCATGCGTCTTTTCTGACAGTATGGTGTTCGGGTCGATGCTGTGTCCTAAGAGCGGATCAGCATATATTCAGCGACATGATCATCGTACACCCGAAGTGCGCTCTGCGGACAATGCTGTGACCTTGTTCACCAAAGCAGCCACCATACCCTCTCCACGAGGCAAGTGCGAGAGTAGACAAAAGGCTGCGTCGAGATGCCATGTTGTGGGAAGGATCCCGCATTCTCTTCCCCTAGGTACATTATCCCCCGTCTTCTGTCTCATCGCCAAAGTTGACCGTTGCCCGTGCCCAGGACTAGCGCTGCCTTTGCGGCATCCCATACTACCTCTCTCTGACAAGGAGCGCCTGCGGGAGCATCTGACTGAACATCCTGTACGAGTGCCCCCGAAACTTCGATGTGCACATTTCATGCTCTACGAGCTCGTCGAGGAGATCACAGGTGTCCCTTACCAGGCTCTGTCGCACGCGAAGTCGCTTGACAGGTTCAGTGTCGCCCAGCGCATCTCGTGGGCAGCGATGCGAGAGACCACGAAGAAAGAAGACCGAGCATACTCGCTACTAGGGATCTTCACCCTCAACTTGCCCACGCTCTACGGCGAGGAAGAGCGCGCTTTCCGGCGGCTGCAGGAGGAGATTGCGTGGCAGCAGCAAGAGATCACGGGGCGCATCCCGGATGTGAGTTACTCCATGTCAAGGTGGAATGTATATGGGGCCTGCGATCCATCTGGGGACCTTACCCAGGCGTTACGGACCATCAGGGTAGTCAAGTTATGATTGCGGCTGTCTGAGCCGTTGCTTTTAGACATCACAAGCATCTGGAGGAGCAGATAGCTCAGACCCATCTCTCTTGAAGCTTTCTTGTGTCAGCTTAGGCTCCGGGACTCGGGCCCTCCGACAACCGAATACATCTTTGCCCTGCCCGGAAGCCGCGTCAGGCTGCCCATCGTACCGCTTGGGGTTACATTTCCTCAGCAGACCATACATCACCGTACGAAAGTTCTTTCATCAGACCCAGAGTGGTACCTGATCATCCTCGGGTGCGAACACGACGACTACTCCGGCGCCTTTCTCGGACATGGCTCTGCTACATCCCTCACTCCGAGTCCGCCATCGAACGCTTGTACTACGGATCTATGTGGATCGGACCTACACCAGCGCGCGGACCTGACAGCCCTGACCTCTTCCCCTTGACGCCGCCAACTCTCCAGCGCCGTCGCGCGCACATCCAGATGAGGACTGTCTACATATCCGAGTCCCGGGGGTGCGCTACGGATGCTCGCGATCAGGTACACAAGACCCTCAACCTCGTGCTGCCGAGGAACGCCCACAATGCTCTACGTGCCCAAGGGAACTCCCAGGGTCGGGTGGGAACCATCCGACCACTCACCAGCACATGCTTGCTAGCCACGACCACGTGATCGTCATTGAGTTCCGGCATACTCTCAGGCTCACCTATTCCGCCCGTCCAAAACTGAAGATTGAGGCCCACGCGACGATGTCGGGCCCCCTCCTTGGCTTTGCTAGAGATATCGAGGCGGGTCCAGGCTCTGTGCGGTGGTCGGATGCGTGTGCGTTCGACGAATGTTGAGAAGACTCGGAGGGCCTTTGGGCCTCACGGCTGCCTATGAACTTGAAGGAAGTCGCCTCCATTCTCCCGGAAAAGCGGCTCACCGTAGAGATCTGCTTCGATCGGGAAGCGCCGTCGGTGTACTCCCTGCACGTCGATGGTGTTGTCACCGAGAGGCCACAAGACACAGCATCCACGTTGATCAAGTCTGCCCAGGCAGAAGAGCCTCAGGCGTTGGGTTCTGACGACCAAGAGGACATGTGGGACTTGAAGACCGAGGGCGAGGGAGGCGGAGATGGAGACCGTACCAGCACCACCGACGGTGTACGCCTTGATAAGCTTGATTCGGATGCCAGCGTCGGTCGGGCCGGAGGCAGGCACCCGGAGGAGGGCAGAGCGAGCTTGGAGTCGCGCCGCGGAGAATTCGATGGGGAAGCGCAGGGCGAGGGAGGTGCGTCTGCCTCGCGGTCCGTCCTCCGGGCAACTCTCAGGGTATGGCCGATTTGTCCGTGCTCTATCTCTTGTTCGTATCATGTTCCTCCCTCCTAGTAGCGTCGCGTACCGACGAGTCTCCTTACCTCATAGTATGTGGTTTACTGCGCCAGCTCGGATTGCGGCATAGGCTCGGCGTACGATCAAGGTCGATTTCTGCGAGCGTGAAGAGGGCTCTCCGGGGGGACATGGTCATGAAGTCGTCGGCCCTAGAAAAACGTTGGGGACCTCTGCGATCGCCATCCCGTGAGTTCGTCCATTCAGTGCTAGGGATAGACACGGGTCTAAGCTGCAACATGGCTATCTGACTGTCACTGTAGGTGCTGTCAAAATCTCTCTGTAGACACGATATCCACAGTGACAACCAAGCGGTCATTGCTACCACACAAATCTCATTCGAGTATAGCAGCGCCAGTGCGAGTGCTATCCCCATGTTTCCGGCTCTTCCCGAGCGTGTACGGCGGCTCCCTGTGACCGCGCTCGCTAGTGACCCTGAAGTGGTGATCGTCGGAAGCTATGGCGGTCATACAAGGGACATTCGCGCCGGAATCATCTTGGTTTATGGACACCTTCCGCCACAGTGCAACGAAGTTTTTCCTCACCGACGGGTCCACGGGTACGCTCCGCCGGGTACGGGTTTCGGTCGGGTCGACCGAACCTTGACCCGTACCCGTACCCGTACCCGTACCCGCACGGGTATATACCCGGACCCGAGGCGGGTCGACCCGACCCGTGTCTGTCCCTACCTTTCACACGTCTCCCGAAAGACGTCCTTCGACGGCCTGGTTGCGGATGAGTGTGACCAAGGGCCGAAAGGTCGGCAGAAGGTCGGCTTCGAGAGCGGAAAGGTGGGGCTGGAGCACTGTGTGTACGCCGTTCGATCGAAAAGGGGATGGGGGGATCGATCGATGGGGATAGGCTTGTGTCAGTGAGAACGGTCTCGAGCTGTAAGTGCATGAACGTTGAGTATGGATGATATAGCATTTGGAACGTACCACGTCGGTCGGGATAGTTCTGAGCGCAAGCTGAGTCGGACCGGGGTCACGTCGCGTCGAGCCTCACACCCTGGCTCTGAAGGCGGATAGCGCGAGGCGCTGGTCATCATGATTGCCACAGGAGGAGCGGTCGATGTACATGGACGGTGCATGTCATTTGCCGTGAATCCAGTCACGCGCGCCGACTCTTTGCGGTGAGGGATAACGTCGGAAGGACGATTGCGGACATCGAGCCTCATCGCCGAAGCGAGCTTGGAACGCACGGCAGGCTGCACCGGGGACGAGCGCGCGGTACGTGAGCCGCTGGGTCTCGCACGTCGCAGACGTACTGTACCTACCAGCTTCAAGCCGTCTACCACCTCACGAGTGTAGTTTGGCATGCATGCAGTCGATAGTGTATACATGATGCAGACGGTGACGCGCGCCTACTCGCGGTAAGGGATGACGTCACGCGTCGAGGGGGCGCATCGACGCCTGAGCCAGCTTCAGTCTTTCTCTCTCTCTCTCTCTCTCTCATCCACACCGCATACACCCACTCCCAACGTCTACGATGCAGAAGCCAGAGAAAGAAATCGTCGCCGTCGTCCTCGCCCTCACCGCCAGCCCCGACCCCGACGTCCAGAAGCGCGCCGTAGAACAGTCCGTCTCCCCTCCTCTCTTCCCCCCGCCCTTGTCTCAAACCGAGCGTTGACCATCCCACCACAGGTACTACGCCCCCGACGTCAACTTCCGCCACCCCCTCTGCAGCGCCAACGACCGCACCGGCCTCCTCGCCATCTACCAGTGGTACCGCATCATGTCCCCCGCCCACTCAGTCACCGTCAGCAGCGTCACCTTCGACCAGCAGAAGCTCGAGCTCTTCCTCGACGTCTCCCAGACCTTCCACCTCCGCTGGTCCCCGCTCGCCCCCGCCCCCGCCCGGTGCGCTCTTCATCATTTGTTACTATTCGCTCCGTCTGATACAAAATCACGCATCACGCGCACGCAGCTTGGTCGTCCACCTCAGGCTCCGCCCCGCAGACCCCCGCGCACCCGCCGACAAGACGACGTACCTCATCGCCGAGCACGAGGACTTCTACCACCAGGAGGACCTCGCCGCGCTCCTCGTGCCCCCGCTCGTGCCCCTCGTCCGCGCCGCCCTCAGCACCGCTACGCTCGCGTGCCGCGTGCTCTCCTTCGGGTTCTCGCGCGTCCTCGGCTACTGGCGGGTGCGCGACGGGGACGGGGAGGCGGGCGCGCAGGCAGACCCGAGGGGCGGAGAGCACGGCGGGGAGCAGGAGCTGCGCGAGCTGCGGAACGGGAAGGCCGTGAATGGGACGGGCACTGGGACTGGATCTGCGGGGGGGAGCGTGAAGAGGCGGAGGACCAGCGCCGCGGGCAGCTATGCCGACGCCGCGCGCGAGGCCGTCGCCGAGATGCAGGACAAGGGCCTCAACGCGATCTGAGGACGAAAGAGGAGCGAGTGAGCGAAGGGCGCAGTGCGCCGCGCTTTCCATTTGCACAGCTTGTGAGACGGCGCCGAGTCTTCCGGAATGTGTTGTATCGACTGCGTGTATAGTATGTATGTATATACCTCCTCGTGTGATATTTTGAATCGTCAGCGGCAGCGTCCGCCTGGAACGCCATGTAATTCGGGCGGCAGTGCGCATGCCCATTTCGCCATTTCCAGCCGAGTCGCGTCGATGAGGCAGAGGTTTTCAGCTCCGGCTGATGCGGCGGGCCACTTCAAAGCTTGATATCGTTCGACGCTCACAAGTGTGTGTGTGTGTGTGTGTGTGGCACAGATACAGAGACCGAGTGGGCCAGCGAAGTATGTAACACTAAACTATGATAGAGTTCGGGACTCGGACGTTCCGAACGTTCCTAAGGTCGTTCGACGGGCGGCCGGACCGGCCTGGTGCGTGCCGCCCTGGACGTCGCGACTCGCGAGCCGCGAGTCTCATCACTAGTACATACTGCCACGAGCAGCAGAACTCTGGCGCGGCTGAGGACCCGACAGGGTACCATCCATCGTCTCCCGAAGGACCTCGACCTCCTCTAGGAACGGCGCTGCCAGCTAACAGTGAACTGACGACGCTCCGAGTCTCCGGGATGCCAGGACCGAAGGTGTCAGGGCCCGGGGTTGCCGACGATCGTGGTGGTCTGTAGGATTCCGTGCACCCCATCACGGGTGTCGGTGAACGAAAGCGCGATGCATGATGTTGGGCGGTCGATCCGAGCTGGGGGATCTGGCGGACCCTCAGCGCTCGGCTCAGAGCTGGCTGCTCGTGACTCGTGAGCGTCCTCCCGAGCCGAGGCAGTCTCGGAAGCTCCTGGGGGCATCGCAGGGAGCGTGCGCACGGGGGCTTTCAGCGATGCCCACGCGAGAGTCGGCGTCTACCGGACGTTCGAGCCGCGGGTCTCGGTGCCTACTAGCGGCAGACTCTAGCGCGACTGCGGGCCGGTGAGGGTCTGCCGACGAGGCTGTTTGGGGTCTGGCGGAGACCTTTGGGCGCACGTCGCAGATCCAGCAGTATGGTCGACACTGCATCTGGGGACGGAGGACGGAGGGGCACGCTGGACTGCGCGCGGGGAGAGGGGCCGTATTCGAGTCCAAGTCGCGCCTCCAAGTTCGACGCGTGGGCGCGATGGCGGGACCGAGGTCGCCGAGAGTCGCTGACGGTCGTCGAGGTCCGCCCCGGGCTTGCCAGTGGGTCCACTGTTAGGGGCGCTATGACGATCACTGGCACGGGTGCCGGTAGACGGGGGCGTCGGGGGCGTCGACCTCTGGCGGCCGAGCCGAGTCGACGGGGCTGACGCGGCGACCCTCGGCGAGCGAACGGTCCTTCGAGGAAGCCTCGAACGTCGCTGGGGGCACCTCGGCAGTCGCAGCATGCGCACATCGTCCTTCCTTCGGCGATGCTGGCGCAGGAGCCTCCGGCACTTGCGTTGGACGTACAAGACGTCCGGGTTCCCGTGCCCGTCCTCCGGTACCGGAGTCCAGAGCGGCGGGCACCACTATGCAGCACCCCGATGCATGGTCGCAGCCTCCAACCAACCTCGGTCGATCGCATCGTGCCCCCCATCTCCACGGACTCGCGTGCACCCTGGGTCACGCGAAGCGACCGGGGATGCATCCGGTAGCAGTCACGATCACGACGACCCCTCCAGCCGGAGTCTACGACGGGCAGTCGGTGCCCCAGGGACCGGCGGGGGGATCAGCCCTTCCGGACGGGGTGGGCTCGAGGTCGAGCCTGCAAGCCTGTTGGAGGTGGGCGGCGCCCCGGACAGCGTACTACGCCGTACGACACGCACGTACGCCCGACTCACGGCCCCGCACACCCTGCAGGGCTTTTGCTCCCGCTCTCCGCCACGAGGAGAGCTGAGAGCTGGCCGTGGGGAAAGAAAAGGGCGCTGGGAATGGAGGGTGCCCTCTGCGCTCCGGATTTCCCCCGCTCCACTGCAAATCCCACCTGGGCGCGGCCGCCGCCCCGACCGCGTGCCACCGAAATTTGCAGCGGGTACGCAAGGCGATCCCTGTGAACCTCAGGCTGCGGTCCGGGGAAATGACATGAAGGCGGCGGCGTCAGCAGGGTGGCGTTCCGCGGGCCGAGAGGGGAGAGGGGAGAGAGTGTGTGTCTAATTTCCTCGCTGCTGTGTACTTATGTATGTACACATGTGCGAGGGACTGCTAGCAGCGCTCTCCGAGTCGACGCATATTCCTGCCCCAGCGGTGCCGCAGCTCGCCCTTGGTGTGTCACTTGTGCCCGACGCGTCCCTGAAACAGAGGTGAGACAACTTGAAGAGGACGCCGTTCCACGTAGAGCCGAGTTCGAGTTCGAAACCATGGGAATGGGGCAGGAGAGCGGTCCGACGCTGGAGAACGGGCGGTTGGCGTGTCGGTGGATGGCCAACGAGTCGGTATACAGCGAGTGGCGGCGGGGGCACTGGCAGCGCAAATCATAGACTTACGGCAGCGCCGTCACGTACAATATAGACCGAGCGATCGATCGACGTCGAGATCGGTGCGGGCATGGAGCCTTGGGGGGCGGAGGGAGGCCCGTGGCGCTGCTGAGCGTTGGGTGCTTGTGCAGCGGCGGTAACGGGGGGGTGCCTGCTCCAAATGCCGGGAACCCTGGTTGACCCCCACCTGGATGCCTCCCAGCGCGTTGAGTGTGTTGGGTACCGAACGCTGGAGCTTCGCAGGGTGATATGAGTACCGGACGGGGATTGGGGGCCCCAGACTGTCAGCGTGCTGACGGCGCGGTGACAGGCCCCGTGAGTTGGCTCAGCGAAGCGCTCTCTCTCGCGCAGGAGGCTGACTCGCTCCCGAATAATGCATGTGCGCTGGTGATGGAGGACGTCAGTTAGGCTGCGACTAAGGGGAGGTGGAGAACCAAAGGAGGAGGTCGTGTTTCCGAGTCCGACGTGGACGTCTGTTTGGGACCGCAGTTTGCCGCGTGCGTCGCTGTCAACTCAGTGAAGCGTACTAGAGCGCGTAAGGGGTCTGTCCGCCCAAAGGCGTCGATGTCGCCTCGGTAGAGAGACCTTGGGTGACGGGGATGCGCGATGAGGGGAGAGGGTCGGGGAAGGGTAAGCCCGAGAGGGTATGAGAAAGGCGTATGCCGCCTGACAATGGAGTAGCGGTCGGCGCGAGATGTACATGCTCGAGAACATTCGGCATCTCATGGCTGTGGATTTGCCGCACTGAGCAACGCTGGTCATAGCTCCCTGACCCCTTCCTTCCTGCTCCTCGCCCCATAGGGTGGCAGAAGATAGCATTCGCACGGTAGGTGCGGTTGTGGACATTTTCCGTAGCTGTGGAATGATCTACTTCAGTTAAGAGTTCCACATGAGAGAGAAAGACGAGAGAGGGTTGGCCATGCATGTCTTCGCATCGTGGGCCGCCTCGTCATTGCAACCGCAGTATCGGAAGACGTTGTTCGTGTAATGTTTTCCCGGACCAGAGAGGCGGCACAACACATTTGCATATGGTGTCGCGCTTCCTTCAGCGTCGTTCAAAGCCCTCATGACCTCATGGGTGCATTTGTCTGGCGTTTCGTCTTATGCCGATGTGGCTAGAACCCATGTCAGAAAGGCTCGAATGAAGGTGAAGAGAACGGCTGACAACGTGCGCATGGCTGAGCTGCAATCAGTGCTGCGACAATGCGGGTGATCTACTCGTATTAGGTCAGCGAAAGGTGGCACTCTCAATGACGATTCATACTCACGCAGAACATACGTAGTCAATGATTTCAGTTGGTGGTTTACTGCAATGATAGATACCTGAGATGGAGATGTGGATGTATAACTCGGGAAAGCAAGTTCTCCACTCCAGTACTACTAAGATGGTGCCGGTGGGCGACTCCCGTGCGAGGCCAAAGTCGGCCTCTCGCAACTGGGTTTTGTCAAGTAATGCATTCCAGAGTGGACCACCTGCTGACTACAGGCAGCGAGGCCAGAGAAGCACATTGCGGTGCCGCATCAAGATTGCTCTGTCCCCATCGAGCAATTTCGTGGTGAATGGGTTATACGACAGTGAGTTCTTGCATGCGGTTAGATCGAGGTTCTGCCAATTGAACTCACCAGCATGATGCTTATTTGACGTTCTAAAATGCATCCGAGTCGTGCGCAGTCCGTCATCTGCAAAACAGGAACACACGATGACGCACCTCAGAAAGACGGAACATATTCTCATGTCTCATCCTGAGCGTATAAAAACCAGCTTGAACGAGGAGGGAGTCCAGCAGCAGCTCAATCTCTCAGCTCTCAGCCCTCACCCAGCCTCAGCTATAACCAGCAGTAAATTACAAAGTTTTTCGCTCAATGAACCACGCCTGACTACTTACCTCGCGATGGCAGATTTCATCATGCGCTTCACCGCCCTCGCCAGCATCGTTCTCGCCGCTGCCTCAGCCGGCCTCGTCAACGCCGCGACCCTCGAGCAACGCCAGCTCGGCTCTTGCTCCAGCTCTTCGCTGGGTCTGCCCCTGCCCCTCTGTGGGGCTGTCTTCGGCGACTGCAGCGGCGCCGGATGCGAGTGCACGGAGCTCACCTCCCAAATCATCGGCACTATCCCCGGCCTCAGCAACGTCCTTGACATTCTGGACGCCACCGGCCTGGATATTGGGACTCTTGGGGTGAGTACGCGTGACGTGGTGCAGCAGCGCATTCGAGCAAGGACTGACTTGTCTGCGTTCTGGACAGATCTGCACCACCGGGGGCAGCGTCCTCTGAGCAAGAGCATTAATCGTGACCGTCGAGTCAAGAGATGCGACCGACGGGTTCTGTAGCCAGCTGACGATGTGGATCTAGTATGTGAACGATTGCGTATGAGTAAGACTGTACAATCTGTTGAAATGAAAGGAGATTCGCTCGCAAGAGTTGTCTGTACCTTGTTGGATTACATTCGCGAGTTGCCCGCGTCCAAAGGTATTCCGTATCCTGGTACGATCAACTCTCCGGACTCCTCAAACTCGTTGCAGCTTGCGTCCCACGTGGCGGCGCCTGAGCTTCCAAATCTGGAAGGGGCGGTTGACGACCCGGCGACGCCCAGGCAAACTTGCGGGTCCGAAATGAGTCGTCGGAATGGCTCCATATTATCAATCGCTACGTACGCCACGGGCAAGCCATTTGCCAATGGAGGACCGTATGAGCGGTGCAGTGACAGGAAAGGGACACGGTGACTGGTAACAGGGAGAGATGAGCTCAGCTGGCCGCGGGAGTCATGCGTCGGCGGTGAGGCTGGACAAGGCCATCAATGCGTATTTGGCAAGCTTTGAGCAAGCGAAGGGTGCCCCGCACGTATAGCCCCTCGATGGAGCGGTGCGCCGTCGCATCGGGATTTGTGCCAGACTCGGACTAGTGTCATTGGTCACGGTGCCGGGTTGTCTCTATCAAACAACCGCTGTAGACGGAAGGTGTATGGTTCTTCTCTGAGCTCGCAGTTGAGCATCGATTCAGTTGTTGAGCAAATTGCTTGAGTCAATTCCAGACTGACGGACAGATATAGCAGAACGGTTTCCTGTTACATGCAAGTACAAGGAATATGGCTCAGGAAGGAGCCTGGATAATGGATACAGCGGACTGGAGAACTTTGCGTCTAATCGAATGAACGGAGTAGTGACTATAAATGAGAGAACGTAAGGAGATGTCGACGATGGAGCAAATACGATACACGGGAGACGTGGAAGTCAGATAATAGGGATACACGGGGGAGTAGAAAATAGCGATTATAGGGTCCGCTGAATAAATAGACTCAGGCCTGACCGTGAGCTTGACGATGGATGGTACAAGGGAGACAAGGAGTCGTGTCGGCGTGCGAGCCGACGGGGGTGAAGTATCGCCTAAAGGGCTAGAAGACATCGATGTCAGCGTGCTGCGTTGTTGCACCACAGCGACCAGAGGTACTTACTTGCATGTATGCTCAGCACAAGTCGGCTCTCAACCGCTCATCTCAAAATGTGGAGTCGCTTACGGTCGGTCTGCTCATTCAGCTCAGCCAGTCCATCTCAAGCACCGGGCTCGACGACGATGGTGCCGCTTGTGTGGACGCGGAAGGGTGCGGAAGAGGGCCTGGACCTGGAGAAAGGTGAATTAGCAACTCAGCACTCGGTACGCACGCCATTGGTTGGGGAGATTATGGCATGTTATATAGGCTGCTCTTACCGAGAGTGAAAGCGAGTGTCGGAGCTGCTGTGTCGCTCGAGGGGCTCGCGTAAGAGATGGGCGAAGGGGTGAGGGGGATGGGACCGGCCATCGTCATGGGCGCGAGGACGAGCGAGAGAAGGGAGATGAGAACGATAGCGAGGGTGCGGGCCATGACTTCAATAGTCGTGCGATTGGGGCAGTCGATTACTTGCGGAACTGAGGCGACGGGTGCGTGATAGCGGGGAACAAACCGCGATTCAGTAATGAGTGGAAAGGCAGACAGGGAGAAAGTGGGAGAGGCTGCGAATAGGTAAGGAAGGAAAGACACCATTGCTTCTTGCCTTATGTATTCGCACGACGATGTAGCAAACGACATAGCCTCGGAGCCACAGAACTCAAAACAGATACCATCACCGATTCTAGGTCTAGCCATCTCGGAAATCGGGGCATGAGGATGACGCAGGTCGAGAAAAAGGAAACAACTCACGGACGAGTGCAGTTGCTGCGGCACTCCTGTGTCCCGGATTCCACGAAGGCGAACACGTAGTGGCGCCGTGGCGTCCGTGTGATCCAGCTGCGCTGGTGGGTGCAGCTGTGTCCCGTATCCAAGCACAGTGGGTAGGTGCGTTTACGAGCTATGCATTGCATAAGCGACCGTCGCGGAGCGTCGGGATCTTGCTTGTACCATCTCGGTATGGAAAACGTTCCTTGTGTGGCACAGATCGGGATTGCGGCTGACGGGTTGCGGTTCCGAAGCGCAAACATAGCCCCTAGTAACCCCTGCACGAATGTCGAATAAATGCAGCGATGGCAAGAAAGGACAGACTGCAGTAGGCGGATGTGTACAATCAGACTGTGGTCAATGAATGCGAGAAGCTTCTTTGTTACCTGATTCGGACAGGAGCGGTGCGCGTTGCGAGCCACCGGAAGACATTGCTTGCACCGCCTCAACATCAAGTCTACTGATTCTCACCCACTTTGAGAACAAGGAGGGGTCTTGAGTGGGGTCGCATCAGTTTCAGGGACGCTGTGATAGCGATGAGCTCTAGAATGGGTAGTCTTGACTCGGGCCGCGCGAAGCGGGGGTACGGGTACGCGCCACCTCTCATTGTATCTTGGTCCTCGAGGCGAAGAATGAAAAATTTAACATCACTGCCCGTTGGTACCTCAGTCACAGTACGAGGATGCTCCACAGAAGACGTTCGAATTGACTCACAAGGGCTCAAGGTGGAGGCAGTGACCCGCGCCCAAGCGAGGGGTCATCTCGAGTCCAGGCATCTGTCGAGTCAGACCACGGTAGTACTTACCGCAGCCTGGAGCCGCTGTTCGCATCCCATCCAGCGCAGCACAATCCGGCGCACGACAACGGATAGCATGGAAGAGGGCGGCACTGCGAATGGGACTAAGCTGATGTTCGAGCAGGTCACGGCCTCGCTCGCAGGTTCCAGCTTTGCGGAGAAAGCCGCACAGGAATTTGGCGCAATTGTTGGGCGCAATGATCAACATGCTTCATTCTCCAGTGAAGTGGACAGAGATATATAACTGTGTTCAATGACGCAATCAGTACGGAAGAAATTCATCCTCGTCAGTACCGTTTTGAAGTTAACTATACGCCACTCACACATACTGGCAGTAGCATGCACGACCGGTCACACAATTCGAGAGGGTGCCCATCAAGGGGAGCTGTGAGCCATCATCTTGTGATTTCGAGGAAGGCGTTAGGGTTTGGCCGCATTCATGGTGATGACTGCAACGTGTTACGGACCTTCTTCTGTTGCCACCAGCATGAGTGGCCACGTTCTCTCCATCTTCTCGCACGTGGACAGTTCCATTGCAACGTCGACAAGCACCCTTCACCGGCAACCAGCGGCAGCATCTCTACGGACCGCGCGCAGGGCATTTCGGCAACTAGACTACACGCCGGGGTGGTGTAAACAGGCAGAACGTGGAGAACAATAAGGAGGCACAGGAAGATGCATCATCGCGATTCGTGACACAGTCCATCACCATACCTTTCATGTCAGAGATCGCAACGACACCCCGTCTCGCGCCATGGCGTTTGTTTGCGCAACCGTTTGACACCTGGCGACGCGATACCACGGACAATATGAAGCCTCGTTTGCATTGCTTGTCTCTCAAATGCCATGCGAAGCGTTTCTTCGACCATAAGTCGCCCTCGCTCCTTCAGCAGTTCCAGCCTTGTAGCGACCTTCTCCTCGAGCCTTAGCATACTCGGCAACCGGCCCTACACGTCCATTACATCTAGGATGAACTTGACTTGCTGGGAGCGCAAATGGTCGATACAGCATGGAAGGTGTACCAGCACGAGGCTGAAGGCTTCGCCGTGCATATAGAAGACGAGATTCGCTTCGAGATAGACCTCGTGGAAGCCATCGAGGCGTGAGAGGTTGTGCTACTCTCACGGCCGGTTTTGCACTGAACCGAATGTCGCATGAGAACTTGTACGACATGGCAGTAAGGATCACAGCGGCTCACCCGGAGAATTTTCAGTTCTGTAATACATCGGCCAAAAGGACTGGGGCACCAAAATCGCAGTAGATCTTTGTCATGTGGCGGACCGTGCGGAGACGTCCAACAGCAGCGAGGATATGGTCCAAGGAGAGCACGCCGGGCCACCGCGTTGTGCTGTTGCGAAACACAGATGACCTCGAGCGTCTCCGCCGTGCGAGTCTCGGAGATGAGATTGCGGAGGACGGCGACTCGGAGCGGTTTGTCGAAGACTTGCAGCTCGCCCAACGTGGGTAAGGAGGAGCTGTGTGCTAGGACACCCTTCATCTAGGATTGGAACCGGCGCGCAGTTGTCTAACAGGGAGAAAACGTCGCTGGACGAGGTTAGAGGGAGAGAAGGGAGGAGGCTTCCGAGGAGTCGCGAGAGTGGATGCGGGAGGAAGAGCTCCAGCAGCTCGTTCAACGCTCCAGCCAACGCGTCAGGATAGTGTCAGCAGTCCCTACAGGGAGTGCGTGACTCCGAATTGCGAAGCGTAGGTTCGACATGGCTAACACATACAGAGTCAGTCGCAGAGCACGCCTCTTGAAGATGTTCACAAAATCTGCCTTTGGAAAGCATGGCGGCTGCAAGGTCTACGGTTAACCATGGGAATGGGTCTAGGTCAATGACTCATCAGATGCGAACCACGAGACCTTCAGTCTGGCGGCTCTGATAAAGTAGTACCTGATCAACAACTGATGATCTGAGAACGCAACGTGTCTGTTCCGTGACATGAGAGCAAGGGCTGCTTTATATCTAATGTAGACGGACCGCTCCCTCGGAAAAAAGCTAGGCAATCAGACCTCGAAACAGGAAGCGTATATATGGGGTACCTACATCCGTGCGTCATCAGTGATGTTGCAGGCGGAGGACGCCACAGCAAGCATGAGGTCGTCTCACATCCAATATGTGACGTTTGATATCCAGCGTCGCGTACGATAGCTAAGCTGCAAGGGCCGGTCGCAGTGTGCAGATGGGACAGGATGGCCGCAGTCTGCGGAACGATTTGTGCCGCTGGCAAAAATGTGCCGGTGCCGGCATATTCCGGCACACTAGTGTACTTAGGTGCGTAGCGGGCGCTAGTTGGACTTCGTCGCTCTCATCGCCACATTAATGAAGAGGCCAGACAGCCTGAGACTATGTGCTATGTGGTGCATATACGCATACATGCTACCATAACTATGTCCAGATTCTGGTGCTTCTTATTCCAATTCCCGTAATATTCCGTATGGTCTGCGGGTATTCTCACTGGCCCTCGTGCTCGCAACTTGCCCGCCGCTGTTTTTGACGTAGATCCAGGTCAGTGCATCGGTTCATGTCATACTGCACACTGCACTAATACAGTTTGGGCGATGGAATATCCTGCTTCCTATTTGACATTCCTTCCTATATGATCTCGTGCTCTCCAAGTAGAGCGCGCATGGCCTCCTCAGGGTGATCCCAATGAACCTGGTGGAGGACTAGTATAAGGAAAGTCTTGGAATGCTGCTAAGAGGAGCACCTACGAAGTGGTTTCCTTCCTTTACAATCACGAGCTTAACATTCCGCAGAAGCAGCCCTTTCTCCTTCGCGGCCTCCACCTCCGTGCGCAGCGTCAACATTGCATGAGAGACTTCGGGCAATGACTTCCCTCCCCAGACGAAGCGTGCCTCTACGTTACACCAGGAGTCGCCAACTACGTCCTCGTCTCCAGGTACCAGAAGAGCTCTCTCGCGAACATTCGCAAAATGTCCAGTCTGAATGCCAGTGAGCATGATCCTCGAGTCTAGATTGCCATCGGTCTTGAAGGTCATTTTCGCGCGTTCCTCCGCGCTTAGAGTGCTGAGCGTCGGGAAAGGGTGCTCGAGTGGTTTCAGAGCGATCGTGTCTAGTGTGTCACCGTGGGGGTAGTAACCGCTGATGGCGAGCGCGCGATCCCACATATCGTAAGACGCCGCCCGCTCTTCCAGGGAAAGGCGCGGGTCAAAAGCGCGGGTGTACATGTCGCTGCGTCTGGGATAGCCCATCACGATGTTTCCGGTGTCTGCCACATTTGCGAGTCATCATCAACCGTCAAATCGATCGTTCAGGGTCTCGCTTACTCACCGAGCACGATGACGCGTCTCACGTACTGCGAGAGATCAACATCATTGACAGGGAACTGGGGTGCATACGCTAAGAGTGATGTCGTCCAAAGCGCCCCAAGCGACCAGCCGGCAACCACAATCCCGCCAGTGTTCAGATCACGCTGCGAAGGTGGTATGTTGTCGCGCTTGACCAAGTCCTCTAGAAAATCGTACACTTCGCGAGCGCGATCCTTCAGGAAGATGCTAAACTTCTCACGCGCCTGAGCCAGTGCCTCTTCATCGGTGTTTGGTGTAAGCTTTGCGACCATGGCGCGCTCCTCGTCTGTGTATGGGGTGCTCCCTGGGTAGTCACGCCGATTTAGGAGAACCAGACGTATGTTGTTGCGATGGGCCAAAGGGATGAGTCTCGAGAATGTGCCTGCGATTTGCATCGCAGTGAGGCGATCAGCGATGTACTTCATCAGGAAAACGTCACGGACTTGTACAGGTACTTGGGGTACTTGGCCAAGTACCTCAAGTATCCCAAGTACCTCAAGTACCCCAAGTCCAATGGACTTGGCCAAGTCGGGTGGGTCGACTTGGCCAAGTACCAGGTACTTGGCCAAGTCCTCCAAGTCCCTGTTCAAGTTCATGCCCAAGTTCACTGTGAGATGTATTGAATAAAGATGATATGCATGGAAGTAAATCAAAGGACAGCTGC